GGTTAACGGGCTTGTTATCTTTCCACACAACAGCACTTACGTCAATATCATCCACAGTCGCCACGTTTTCCTCATAGAATCCTCTGGGTACGTTCTTTTTCATTATAGTGTTTTTTTCAGGCAATTTGCAGTTTCTCAATCGGTTTACTCTTACTGTTCCCAGTGAGCAAATTCCTTCCTTAGCTAAATAGGTGACGAGAGGCACAGAAGTATAGAAGTTATCGAAGTATATAATGTGATTCACATTGCGTGATACCATTCTAGCTAACCTGACGACTGTATTGCCAGACTCTCCCAAATCTGGCTCACCAGGTAAGATGTTATTTTTGGAGCCCCCTCCACTGTAAACCTCAAATCTATGAGCATATCCTTGTAGACTGCAGATGAGATATAATTTGAACCCCCACTTGTGGGGTTTATTGGGCATGTATTGTTTTATGTAATGGCTCATTTTGGTTGCACACATCTGCTCGTTTATGGAAAGCCTTTGGTCTAAGGGAACCTTCCCAAACTGGCAGTTGAGCGTTTCCTCAAGAGGTCTTATTTTGAATAGCCTGTCATAGTCTGGATGATCTTTGGGCAAGCATAGCGTATCGTCGGCAAAATGGAGAGTGGATCTTATTTTTTCAAATTTTTTTAACGGCATAGTATTTTTTATGTGATCATAACCAAATTTTTCACTCCAGTAAGCCCTGGTGTTTGGAAATTTTATAACTGAGGTGTAAATCAGAATGCCTAGGAATTTATTTAGGATATTTTCATTTATAATTTCAGGATTGGAGATTTGTTTCTGGGCTGCGTATAAGTTACTTTGTTCTACAATTTGCTTTTTTAGATCTGATGTAAAATAAAATGAAAAAAATCATACGGCGTGTTACAAGACATCAATACTTCCGTTATCTGAATTTCTCCCCTAAAAATAAGGCTGTCTTCAGCAGTAACAAGATTCCATTTTCGCCAAAAAAGAGGTCGTTTAGAAATCCCTTGTTATCTACTCTGGGGTGCTGCTTCTTCGGCTTCCAAAATAGGAGGGTCTGGCATATTTTCATCGTTGTCGATTACGAGAGGAGGATCAGCATCCACTTCATCAGACTGGGCATTCTCACCTTCATCACATTTTTCAAGGTCTCGAAGAACATCTCGAGCTGTTTGATAATAGTGACCTTCATCCTCTACTTCGGAGTCTGACCCGTCTAAGCCATCTTCTGAATCTTCAAGAGTTTCTAAATACTTTGTAATTTCGCTTTCTAGTAATCGCGGCATGCTGAAAAGCAAAATAAAAATCCTTCACCAAACATGCATTTATTTAGCAGGCAATGCGCATTGTAGTTTTCCTACAACATACCAGATTTCGCCTAATTCGACAGTAGCATCAAGTGATTTTCAATGTTTTACAAAATGAACATGTAATTGAAGATATAATCAAGCAAATAAAAATATGTTATATACTTACATTATATTTTATCAAAGTCCGAACACAGCTACAAAACTTAGTTTCGCGCCACTGGAAAAGTTTTCTTCAAAGTGACATTTGACATTAACTTATTTTCAATGCATAAAAATATTGGATAGTGCCAACATTAAAAAAAGTACAAAATTCGTTCAGAAATAAGAACTAGTTATCAAAATTAACAAAAAATTAAAAGAAGGTCAATTTTATCTGTGATGTTTAGTATGTTGTTTAAAAACAACATTGTCCATTTAAGGGAAGTGAAATATATGGAATGCAAAAATGACAAAAAAATTAATAAATTGAGAAAAATTAATATTAGAGGAATATGGTGACTGGCATACATCAAACGCATGAACTGTAACCCCAAAAAGCATATTTCGGCACCGTTCTAGAAATAAGTAATTAACAAATAAACACACTTTTAATAATAATAATAATAATAACGCACACACTCGACATAGCCCCGCACTAGGGAAACCCTGTGTCGCGGGTGCCATGGACACACACATAGACAACCACAAATTACACCCAAACTCACGAGAGAAATACATGTAGGCCATACAAATACTTCTCCCGGCCCGGGAATCGAACCTGGGACCTCTGCGTGGCAGTCCGGCATGGTAACCGTTCGGCCACGGAGGCAGTTAAGTTTTAAGCAACGACATCTATGTATTGAAGTCGTTGCTTATAATGAAACTTTTCGTGGTAGTGACCAACGATAATATCACCTGATACTAATTGCATGTATGCGTTAAGTAAAGAATCATCATGGGCTATGTCTTTCTTGCGGCGTTTTCGTTGTGAATTTGAGTTATATTTTATTAATTAATCAACTCGCAATTTATTATCCTAAGTATCGTCTAGCAAAACGTGCAGAACTTGTAACACTTCATTTTTATTAACACGTGTGGTGATTTGGTGGTTCAATCCTTCAACCACATTGTTTATTCGATGGTATTGATTACAGACGCACCACATTTTCACAAATCTTCTCACATCCAAATTTGTTGAAAGTATGTGATGAAATTGTCAAAATCACTTCGACAATTTCATCACATTTTTTCATTATTCAATAATTTTTGTTCTCTTAGAATTGTAATTTAATCTTTTGCATATTCCTAACCTAAACATTTTTTTGTTCCGGAAGATGGGTCAAATTACAACATAAAGAAATTATCCCTTGGTTAATTTTAGATTTTGTTATTTTGTTAATCCAAGTTTTTTAGTCTTGTGCCACAAACTATTGGTGAAGTGATAATGGCAGCCTTTCACTTCTACCTACATTCATATTTTGTAATGCCTTCATAATACTTTATGCATAAGTGACTATTGCTTTTTTAGGCTTCCACTCTGGTATTTATGCTTTGATTAAATAAAAAAGCACTGAATATTCCTTTAGTGAGCGGTGTGTCATGAATGCGTAGTCTAGTAGTCTGTGGTTACTGCCAATATCACCATGGATAGTTCCTGAGAAAATACCAATAGTTGCTGAAACGGTTTTGGACACGACTTAACTTTTCAGTCCATGAAAAAATGGTTTATTTGTGCTTTGAGGGTATCCGCAGTTCCAGAGCAAAACACAAGATTCTTATGTCAACATCTATATAATCTGCGAGTAAAAAAGGACGAAATTGGTGAGGCACCCCCACTTTGTTAATATTTGTGGTGTTCGTTTTGCTATATCAGCACATTTATTTCTGTGTCGGTAAATTGCAGATTTTTGTTTAAATGATGGCACTGGCTTCGTTGTAGCTAAATTTAAACCCTGTAATAGTAATAGTAGCCAATGCTCTTTTAAAAACTCTTGGCGCTGGTTCTCAGCAAGATGCCGCTTCTTCACAGCCATCATCGTGTAATATTGTGTCAATAATATTTTGTGCAGTATCACGACGACGAGTGTCGGCATGGCTTTTGTTTTTAAATATTGAGTGTAAGTCCTATAACAAACATATAATGTAGTAAGATGTGGATTTCGATACCTACTCCACATTAAGTAATAATAATATAGACCAAGGTGGTCAGCGTGTACTGTATGAATGATCTTTTTTTGTTTTAGGTATGAGTGTAAGTAGCCTTCTCGAAGTCCTCCTGGCTTTGTGGTGGGCACACTCTAAACAAGCGCTAACATTATTTCTTTACGAAACGACGCATCGTTGCAACCAATAGGAATCCTTTAACTGACTCGAAGGTTTTCTCGAACCCAAAATGACCTATGTCATCATGGGTTATCTTAAGAATCTGCCATCGCATGGCTTTGGATTCAACCTATCGAAGTCCATTATCAGTTTTCCGGTGTACTCTGCCATCTTTTAACTCAAAATTGTTAAGAACGTCAACAACTTCGTACGTTTCGTACGGTATATCCTGGTCGAAAGGCTGGGCAGTCGCGAGCCCGTTCTCTGTCTCGATATCAAGTACCTACGTCTAAAATGTAGTTCGGACGTAGCAGTCTACAGGTGTACAGTCAAACAACATGCGCCATTTTAGAACAAAGCCTGAATTCAATTTCGCAATCGAATTCTTTTACTTGGATCCACCAGAGCGCTGTACGTGGTACAAGATGTCGTTTTGTAAGCGTTGTCCTCAAAGCATTGCAGTCGGTGTAGATCTTAAAAGGTATTCCCAGGAGATATACGCGAAATCTATGAAGGGAAGCCAACGTTCCGTTTCGTGTGAGTGGAACTTCTATTAATTTAAATAATATATCTATTAATTTTTTGTCACGACCATAATGCCCAGAGAGACGATGAATCAATCGAACCGAGACTCAAACAAGTCGTCGGACTTGTTTGATTTCATGTCGATGAAATTAGATTTTATTGCGTTATACTTATACGGCAAGATTTCACTAAAAGGTGCGTTTTTTGCTTAGCAAGTCTAGTAAAGCTTCTGACTTAAAAATTTCAATCTCACCAACTGTAGTTTTACGTAAATTTCAAAAGTAATTGAAGTGATTGAAATGTTGCATACTTTTCCTGAGGTCGACGTTGCTGTAATTTTTACGTGATTTACGAAGAAAGGTCAGCGAAAATTAAATTAATAAACAATGATGGGGAAGATTATTTTTTTCCCATAATTTGCAGTCTACCTTTAATAACGTTTAATTTGACTCCTGAAGCGTATTGCACAATTACAGAAAAAAAATATTCCGACAATATTTCACAAAAAAGGCATACAAAAGACATTAATAGGCTACTACAAATAGTATAGAACAACAAGTGCCTTGGAGAATTGGCACCGTCGTGATAAGGTTACAATAGGTAGTACTCATTCCCCATCGCTATTATGTCTGTCGAAATTCTAAAGAAAGGCCTAATTCAAGATTTTTATCTTTTCTTCTCAGAAGAAAACCTTAATCGGTCAGACCTGTAACTTACAAACATGCGTTTTAATACAGATTTTTTTGATTTTCCTTTATATTTTGATGTTCTATGATTTGTTTATGTCCGAACATTTCTTCAGCGGCAGTTGTAGATCATACATTATTATCATTCAGTATAGTAAATAATAAATAATACCCATTTACATATTATACGTATGAAATACTTTTATCCTTTTCTTTAGTTCGAAGTTTACAAAATCGCAATTTATTTTTCGTATTATTATATTTATATTTCACAATTATGGACATTGTTCCCTTTAAAATGTATAGGAGCGATACGCAGCGGTGTCTATTATGTATGCTGGGCCTTTTTTTGGCTCACGGAACTGGTAATAAAAAAATAAAAATGTGATTAAATAAAAAAAAGGCCAAGCTATTAACTTCCGTATTTGTCGAAAAGAGTCAAGGTTATTTTTAATAATAGACACTACAATTTTGTGTCCACATCTCACAATAATGGAACATTTAATTAAATTTTTGTATAAAGCTTGTAATTCGCGTTTTTCATCGTATGGTTATGGCTGATTTTTTTTTAGTCTGTCTTATTCTACTGCAAACATTGACTTACAATTATATGGACGTCGGGTCCGCTCTAAAAAGTGTCCGAACTTATAGGGCGTTAAAATCATATACAGAGCGTCATTCACGCTCTATTCTTCGTTTGTTCGACTGACAGCGAAGCAAGCAAAATTAGACAGTACTGCGAAGACATTACAATTTAAATTCAACGTTTTAGCTTTTTCATATTCCTTTACATGTCACTACGCTTAAATAGGTTGACTTGGGACATTTTTTTCGTGGTTTTTGTATTAGACCCGTCGTCCATTTATTTGTAAGTCAATGACTGCAAATTATTGTTCTAGATATTCAAACAATTAATTAGGTCTAGTGTTTTGTTACTTATTTCTGTCGATTCTCTAGTAGGTACATAGATGTTGTCCCTGGTGTGATTTGATGTGATTACTTTCGTATTGTTGATTTATTACTGCGATTGTGTTTTGTCTTTGCTATCTACACGTGTCCCTTAAACATCGGTATTATTTGTGTTAATTATGCTTTTCTGCTATTTCGAGTGAATGCTAGTGTTCTAGTTCGTTTGCGTTTTATCTTTCCAACGGAGGGAATCGGACTAAATGATAACTTAATTTAATTTTTTAAATTTAGTTAGTCATACGCAAGTTTCTCTGTACAATATTTACCTCGGCAATACAGTTGGCTCCAACACACTGTCATTGAAAGAAAAGTATTGTCAATTATTATATGTTCGGGTGTACATATCCAAACTGACTGCAGACACGATCTGGTGTCACCCGTATTTTGATCAAAGAGCTACAGTGCTAGCACACCACAAAGTTTTTGTGTCTTGTTAGGTGGTCCTATTTCACCTGTGTGTACAGCCAAACAATATTTCGGAGGAAATAGATTTAATTTCCTTTTACCGTGGCTACGCAGCCTTCCCCCGTGCACTGAAACAGTAACTTTAGTTTATCAATATTACCTTAAGATCATTCAATCATGCAATCAACATATTTTTTTGATTATCTATACTTACGTTGCTGTGACACTTAGGTCCAAAGCACTAGAAAAACATTAAAATTAGTTTTTTCTACCGTAGGACCGTAGTCCTACCTATTTCTATCCTCCGGAGGATCTAACAACATTTGCTGTTTCGTTACGATCCGTGAATGTGTAAGTTAGATGTCTAATAACACTTGAAATTATATACATAGAGAAAGAATGCCACAGAAAGTGCTGGAGGGATTTTTTTTTAATTTAAAAAAAAGGAAATTAACTGCGTCTACTAAATCTGGTAACCTCCATTAATGTGAACTTTTGAATAGGTACAAAAAACAGAATTATGCTAGAAATAATTGCATGACAGTCTATTAATGTATAATGAAAAAGGAGTCTAAAAATTATATTTTAAGCTTTAATTGCCCGTAACGGAGTTACGAGGTTTTCAAATTTTGCGACCGTTGTCATTACCCAATTTTTCAGAATGAAACGTTGCCTGAATTGTGACGTCTTTAGCAAATTTTGTTTAATACAAATTTTCGTCTACGGTATATTTCGTAAGAGTATCAGTGATGAAAATGAACAAATAAACAATAACAATAACGTACACTATCATAGGCGACTTACGCATACTTCTCATAATGACAGTCTAAAAATGAGAGTTGATTCAACGCTGTGCAGATTTTACTGGAATATGCCTCGGAAATTATTTATATTTTACAGGAATATCATCGTTACTTATTTCGTCCTTTCTTAAAATAATACGGTATTTCATATTTATGTTCGTATATATCATAGTGCTCATTAAAGGTTTAGGATGTTGGAGCAGAATGCTACTACGTGAAGAGAGACACCAGGATAAATAATAATTAGATACTGTATATTTCTGTGTGCATACATAGGTTGACGCGACAAAAGTAAAAACATAGCATGACTACGCATGATAGTCGCGATACGCGCGATAAAATTGAATAAGCGCGCGCTATTCAAATTCAAATTCAAATTCATTTATTTAATATCAGATAACAAAGTCCATAATTATACTAATACACAGAATTACATCACATTACTAATAATATTACATTCATTATATTTGAAGTTACACTAATGAAATTTTAAATAATGTCCAAATATGTAAAATTAATTCAAGTACTTAATCAAAATTTTATTTTTGATTAAGTACTTGAATGAAATTTAAAAAAAATTAAATTTTTAAATTAAATTAAATTACAATGAACAACATTCAAGGTACTTAATAGTGGTACATTTTGTTTAAGTGTACCACACAACAGTGGTTTACGTCATCAAGCCTGCCAGCTATCATGGTCAAGATGCTGTTGGCGCTGGCCCGCATCCTGCGCACCATGGAAGTGCATCGCCTGCGCATTGTTGCGTGGAAACAATCTACTCGCGCCTCTGCGATCATCTCTGAAACGCTACAGTACCTGGGCAGCCCCAGCAGCACCCTGAAGGAGTCATTGAATTGTACAAGCAGAGCACCGAACTGCCTTTGTATAATCCGTCCACAATCCGCTTGCATACAAAGATGTACAGAAGGCTCTAAATAGCGTTACCTTTCCTTCAAATGAAGTTAAGGCTCTTACTGATAGCGCCCTGCGTTCACGCTCAATATCTTCATCATCTCTAAGATCAGAGGTCACCAGATGCCCTAGGTACTTAAATCTGGTAACTACCTCAAGAGTAGTCCCATTTAAATTAATATTTGGAACATCCAGAGTAGGTTTCCTCCAGACCCTGAAAACCATGCACCGGTTCTTCTTGCGTTATACTTCAGTCCGTGTTCAACAGCATACCTTTCATAAATACTGATCAATTTCTCAAGTCCACAGACGCAGGCACTCATCAGCACCATGTCGTCCGCGTAGCTAATATTGTTAACATATATTCCGTCAATATGACAGCCGACATGTGTGCTGCTGAGCTCCTCTATCAGTGTGTTTAGGTATAAGTTGAATAGCTTCGGTGAGGTCAGTCCTCTCTGTCTTACCCCACACTGCAAAAACTATTGGCTGTCTCAATCAGATCAAATTTAGATAGTCAATTTCAAACTTATCGCGCGCATCGCGACTATCATGCGTAGCCATGCTACGAGGGCTGGTTGAGACAGCCAATAGCGCGCGCTTATTATAATTTTGTCACACGGGTCGTGACTATCATGCGTAGCCATGCTACGGGGAATGGTGTGTGTGCGACATAAATCGCGATATATTGCTATTCTCGCTTATAAATCTCGCGCTTTACGTCGTACACGCGTAAGTCGCGCCCTGTTGCGCTAGGCCTGCTGTATACACGAGACAAGAGCGAATACAATTTGTTTTATTTTTCGTATGAGAACATAACATCATCTTCAAATTCAAATCATGACGATCTATAGGCCAGCTCAACTAACTTTTATGATGTGCATAATAAACTATTTAGATTTCGACATTAGGATCCTCATTAACATTAGATTTGGAATTTTCTTTATGATATTTGCTGAGATACTTTTTTCAATTCTTATGAAGCGCATTTATTATACTCTTACACCCCAAATTATTCTTTTTGTGGTATTTTTTATTTGATCATTCGTTACGGATTTATGTTTTTACGAAAGTACTAATATATGAAAATAATGTATGTTAATTGTTCAGTGCTCCGTACCCATGGAAATGACTAAAATTTTATATATTATACAATTTTGAATTCAGATTGACGTTTTCTATTTTATTCTTTTCATCACCAATGCTTACGTTGATGGCAAGGTAAGCACTGCTTACAATGAAAAATTAAAGAGAAAAGTATTAGGGCTTAGTAGGATCTTAGTGGAACGGCAAGTGTTGTTAGATGGGGTGAACTTTTTGTTGAAAACGGTTTGACGGCATTTTGAGGGGGTGATAGTGGATCTTCAAACAACGTGCCAAAGAACAATGGGAAAATCATAGTTAAAAAAATCGTTAGCGTCTTCAAATGTCTTAATTACAAGTTTGAATAAAATACAGTCATTGGGTTTTTCAAATTATTATAGCGGCCTATCTAAGTCTGGAAATAAAATCATATTTAAAAGAAACTAATGACTAATCAGTATGTAACCGGACTGCTATCGACACCGAATATAATTTTATTCAGTTACGTAACAATAACCCAAGTAACTGGATTATCTTTGATTCCTGACTTCTCAGAATAGTAAAACCAAAACAAAATTTGTTCAAGAATTTCAACTTTGTGTTTTCACTCTTTATTTTCATAAAAAGACGCATACAAATCATGTCAACAAAAGTTTGTATTGGAGTTTGCGATTGTCCTTTCTGCACCGACCACGGATAGTATTTATTTGGTCTGTGGCACCGACGAAGTGGTCGGTATAATCACATTATAAGTTAGGATGACTCCCGTGCCTACACGGAATCGCAATAAGCTGTTCAGAAAAAGCTTTATGTCCATGCAATAAGAGCACCAAAGATGTTGTTCGTTTCGCGTCGGCGTTCCGAGCGGAAGTGAAAATCGCTATTAATCGTTTTCTCTTTTATTTCATGGACATACAACCTTTTCTGACTAGCTCAATGCGATTGTGCGTAAATAAGCATGGTGACTCCCTTATAAGACAAGTATGGTAACTCGTCGCGTACAGACTGCGCGCTGTATATGGTACACATTCGCATAATATTGAAAGACGCGTGAGACAACCAGCGCTATGCATCGCGAGATTATGCGAACGTATGCGTCCGTAAACGGCGCACACACGTATACAAGCCGCGCTGGTAATTTGTATGGAGTAACCAGACTTGTCTTATTGTACGATGGATGATTGTTGTTTTAATTCCAAGGGTTGAGCACATCGCGACCTCTTAGAAATGTCGTTTCAACACCAATAGTTATTTATCAATTTTATTCATATAAGATGCGTTCATTAGTGATAGGTACACCTTCAATTGTATATATTACCATAACTTAGTAGGATAACAACTTAGTACGATGATTTGCTATTTGCTATGAAAAACTGTTTTCGATAAGTAGCTTTGAGATCGCCGGTTACACCCCTCTTTGTAATGTAAAAACAATGTCTCGATTTATTGTTTATAATATAACGTGACCCACTTAGTAACTTTCGTACCTTTTTAAAAACAAGATGAAGGTAAATTCCGTATGAAACTTATAAAACAACTTTTTAGATTGTTTACTGTAAAATATAGATGTAAATCCAACAAATGCAGGTGATTGATATTCTTGCAACTAAGAATTGCGTGATGCATGTTATAGAGTCGGTATAAAAATATCGTCGCAAACATGATGGCTAATTTGTTTTTGAAGTAAGCGACGAACATAATTGTGCAAGTTCATTTGAATTAGGTTATTGTACGACCTTTGTACAATGATCTAATTCAACTTTTCACAATTCAACGCTTACTTCTTTTAGCTGTCGTGTTGCTGTTCGAAATTGTATTTTAATTTGCGTTTTACAATACAGTTTACAAGTTAATAACAAGGTCCTACTTCATTAGTGGTAAAGACGACTTTATATTTTCTATAAAACTTTATAGTTATTTTCTATATATGTATATGTACTTACATGTGAGGAAGCACTTTGACCTTCAGACTGTTATAAGGAAAACGGAATCAAGGATGTGCTTTGCTATAGTTACTTTTTAGAATTTATAAATAATACTTATTCTAATAGTAGTAACAACTTTGATATGCAATTAGTTACTTTTTTGAAGTAAAAAAACCAAAAAAAGACTATACTTACACTGGACACACACGCTGATGCTTTGCACTGTAAGCCAATTATAACGTAATACATTATTTGCCCTACTCGATTGCGCTTAAACATTTCAATTGCTAAAATAATTGTATATCACAAAATATCACGTATACGATTATCGATACAATTTAAAATTCAAAAGTTACACTGCATCCTTGCTGGCAAACATTTGCCGAGCGACTACAAATATGGGTTATAAGTACATATTTAAAATGATAATCTTTTATTTAACTTTTTTCGAACGTTACTATTGGCCTGACATTTGTGCGTGTCGATCCATTCAATTAGTTTCATTGAAAATTATGATTTTTTTTATTATACCAAGTTACGGGACGAACAAGTCGTGCACCATAACCGAAGTACCACTCAGAGCTTTAAATCGCAAAGATCTTAAGAGCATTGCCACTGCGCTTCACGCGTTGAGATAAGTTGACAAATCCCATGTGCGTGTAAACCAGGGGTTCCCAAACTTATTTTATCTACTGCCCACTTTGAGAATAAATTATTTTTTAGCGCCCCCATTTTTCACCAACTTAAAAACCACTATAACTTCAAATTAAATTAATTATTGTTAGCTATAACACTAAAACCACGTTCACAAAAATATGACGATGGGAATGCTATCAAGAATCGTTTAACGATTGACCACAATGCAGGGTACAATTGCGGGATCGGTTTTTGTAGCCAAAATACTTGGTAGCCATTTTTGAACTTGATTTTTATATCTTCGTTCGTTGTCAATTCTATAAGTTCTTCTTCCAGCTGAGGTGATATTGCTGTGTTGACATTTGAAAACGGATCCAACACCCAGTCTGGTATTTCCTAGTTCAAAATGTCCTGGTATCGTTCGGTGAAGTCAATGTGGAGGTTTTCCAAATGTTGGCAGTAGGCAAACAAGGCGTCGTTACTGCAGGATACTGATAAATTCGGAAAATTGTGAAACTCACATCTGCCCATTTTTTTTTGTGTAGAAGCAGTTTGGCTGCGAAAGCAACAATGACATTTTTTGTTTTAATTAAATTTAGTTCATCGCCTTGCAGTTGGAGATTCATGTCATTGAACAATTTATACAGGTCTGTCATGTAAGCTATATTATTCTTTGATGTAATGAGCTTGTTGCGCAATTCTGTATCTTTCATTTCCAAGAACTCTATCACAGAGGCAAACAGGTTGTAAAATCGAGTCAGACAATTGCCTCTTGATAGCCAACGAACTTCAGTATGAAACAACAAACGATTGAAATCTTCGTCCTTAGTAACACAAAGCTGATGAAATAGTCTATCATTCGAAGAGCTGTTACGGATTTTAATGCCTTCTTTGATGACATATTGTAGTGATTTAAATAGTCGTTCACTTAAATTTCTAGCAACCAAATGTTGTCTATGAATAACGCAATGTACAGCAAGGACGCTTTGAAGACTTTATGCATTATAATACTTATATATAAGTATTATAATAGTAGTAATAATTATTGTATCGGTCTCTAAACTTCTAGCAAACAATAGTTCTTCACATATTTTCTCATCTTTAATAAACCTCGCGTAAGACAGCAACAATGCTTCATTACTTGGTAAAATGGACTCATCGAGCTGAATTGAGAATTGACTAGTCCTCAGATGATTGCACAATGATTCTTCAATGTTTTCAGCCATTTCATCAATTCGTCTTTGCACAGAATTATTTACTTTATTCTGGGTCTCTTACCCCCCCATTTAGGCCTGCAGCGCCCACAAGGGGGCGTTATCGCCCACTTTGGGAAAGGCTGCTGTATTACACTTACCCTTCCTAACCGGAACGCGTAATGTTCCCATTACTGCTAGGCGGCAGAAATAGATATGGTGGCAGTACTGCTCTGGACCAACTCTTTCACAAGGAGCTCTACTGTTATTAAAATAATGAATATAGTGGGTACTTAGTATTGTAATTCATGTTCCGATCAATTTTGTTTGTCAGTTCTGTCTGTACTATAAAATGACGTACCTGAGATGTGCAAATGCGACCGACACACTAAAACAAAACGCGCATCGTTAATTGTTAATCGATTCAAATTGAAAATTTTCTCAACTGAGACGATTTGCAGGAGAAACTCTGTTATTTGTAATTAAAGTTTTATTAACAGATAATCTCAGCAGATTTAAAGATAAGAAATTTATTTTACACCAAAAATAAAATAACCATGCGAGCAACCATGAAACAACGTTCACAATCATAAGTCAGACATAGATACATGTATAAATAATTTATCATTGTAATATTATCTTCAGACAACATAAACGTAGATTACTAACTACTTTTACTCTTCATCATTATTTCAACCTAAAGACGTCCATTGTCGGACATAGGCCGACAAAGATCTCCACAACAACGGTCTTGCGCTGCTTACCTCAAGCGGATTCACGAAACTTTTACTAGGATATCAGTCCTCCTTGTGAGTGGTCTGCCCTCGCATTCTCGTCGGTTACTCATAGTCCAGGGAAATGTTTAACACTAAGTAATTGTAGTGATATGCTGACACTGTTATTCCTATTAAGTGACCATATTGTTAAGGTTTTTTATCATATGTTTAGGTTTATTGTTAAGGTTTTTTTTATCGATTGAGACAGGGGCGCTCGAAACCAATAGGTGTGTGCGGCGGGTCTCAACAAGTGGCGCAGGTCCTGACGGCGCTACCTCTGAGAAGCGTGCAAGTGTGACTCATGATGCACCGAATAGTAGCAATTATGTTTCTTACTCTCAACGCGCGCGGGAAGGCGGCGAATTTATAAATCGGTTGGATGAAAAATGGAAGGTGGTGCAAAGAAAAAAACTTAGAAATCAGTTTATTGGAACAACGGGTGTAGCAAAGGATTCAAGCAGTAAATTTAAAGCTGCTGACGTAAAGGTTCCACTCTTTATTAACAATGTAGATATGCAAGTGTCTACTAGAGATATTAACGAATATATTGCAAGTAAAACACAAGTAACAGTAGAATTAGTGGAGATAAAAATGAAGAGGCAAAGAGGATATAAAGCTTATAAAGTTTTTGTTCCTCGAAATAAGTTGTCTACTTTTCTAGATGAGAACTTTTGGCCCGAAGGCATAACGTTTCGGCGCTTTGTTGACGTTCGGGCGAATAGCTTTCGTAATGCGGGAGTAAATGAGGCTACTTGTACGAAATAGTTAATGATAGTTATTTTCTACAACTTCATTATATGATGGATACGAACCTTACTATAACTAAATTCGTGAGTTTCAACTGTAAGTCAGTGACAAGATCCGTAGAGGGTGTAAGGCAATTATGCAAAAAAGCGGATGTGATCGCTCTCCAAGAGACGTGGCTTCTCCCTCATGATGTGGCGTTTATTGGAAATATCGACCAGAACTTCGAGTTTACTAGCAAATCGGCGGTGGATATCTCGACCGGCCCACTGCGGGGGCGACCATATGGAGGAGTGGCCATAATGTGGAGGAAAGGAGTGTTCTCGTCGGTGTCAGTGGTGCCGTGCGTCAGTGCAAGGCTTACAGCGATTAAAGTGTGCCTGGCTGATAGATGTTCTTTAGTGTTCTCAGTGTACATGCCTACTGATAGTGCTGACAATCTAACGGAATTTACAGAGATACTCAGTGAGATTAATGCCGTAATTGAGGGTAGTGAAATAGAGTCGGCTATTATTCTGGGGGATTTTAACGCTCACCCTGGGGAATTATTTTACAAAGAATTGTCCGATTTTTGTGATGAGCGAAGGTGGCTCTGTGCTGACGTGGTCAAGCTATCCTGTGACACTTGTACTTTTATTAGTGATAGTCACAGTTGTAGGAGGTGGCTTGACCACTGTGTTGTAACGGAGGCAGCTTCGAAGTGTTTGGTTGATGTAGTTGTTCACTACAATGTCTTTTGGTCGGATCACTTTCCTTTAGAGGTTAGCTGTAGGCTAGGTAACGTGATTCCAAAAACGTTATATAGTAAGAATGTTACCGATAAAGTACGGTGGGGTGAGAGAGACGATCAACAGACATTTAAGTATAATGAGGAATGTAATTGTAGGTTAAGAGATATCGATTTTCCAGCTGAATGTAGGAATTGTGCAGATAAAGTGTGTAACATGTTTGAGCATAGAAGAATTATTGATAAATTGTATCAAAATATTGTTACAACGTTAAGAGGTGCTGCTGAAATCAGTCACGATTTAAAAAAGAGGAATGATAAACACAAAAAAGTAGTAGGCTGGAATAAATATGTAAGGGAGGCTCACGGAGAGGCGCGGCTCAGCTTCCAGACTTGGGTATTGCACGGCAAACCTAGTGCGGGAGATGTGTATAATAGAATGCGTGAAACCAGAAGGTGCTTTAAGTCCAAACTGAAGTGGTGTCAGGATCATGAAAACCAAATTAGAATGGATATATTAGCTACTCACCATTCCACGAAGGACTTTAAGGGCTTCTGGAAGCATACTAAAAGGCTGGATGCTGGGGCTAGCCTGCCCGCGAGTATAGAGGGCCAGTGTGAACCAAGCCAAATTGCGGAACTTTTTAAAGAACACTTCAGAGTTGATTCTCCATTGGGGCCGGTGGCGGGGATGCTCGACGCTGAGACGCAGTCATGTGATGAATATTTACGTTTTACCAGTAAAGAAGTTGCTGCGGTAATTCATGACATGCAGGGGGGCAGATCGCCGGGCTACGATGGGCTCAGCGTGGAGCATTTACGTTACGCTGGTGTACATCTACCCAGAGTGCTCGCTTTACTTTTTAATTTATGTATAGGGCATACTTATCTACCTCGAGAGCTTATGGAAACCATTGTTGTACCGATACCGAAAAACAAAACGGGAGATGCCTCTGACAGGAATAATTATAGACCAATCTCGCTGGCAACCGTGATAGCTAAGGTGCTGGACGGTTTGCTTGATCGCATATTTGAAAAGCATGTGCATCTGCACGAGGCACAGTTCGGTTTCAGGCCAGGGCTGTCCACTGAAACAGCAATTCTGCGACTTAAGCATACCGTTCAGTACTACGCTACTCGAGGAACACCAATCTATGCCTGTTTTTTGGACTTGTCGAAGGCATTTGACCTTGTGTCCTACAACGTTTTATGGGATAAGCTTTTGAGGGAGACTAGCGCACCGCGTGAGCTTATAAGGTTAACTAAGTTCTGGTATGAGCACCAAACTAATAAGGTTCGATGGGCTGGTTCATACTCAAAAGAGTACAGGTTGGAGTGCGGGGTGAGACAGGGCGGGCTGACTTCTCCACGTTTCTTCAACTTGTATGTAAATGGGCTGATTGATGAGCTCAGCAAGGCCGGCGTGGGTTGCTCAATAGACGGGAGTTCTATGAACAACATCAGCTACGCAGATGATATGGTTCTGCTGAGCCCATCAGTCAGAGCCCTTGAGGTCCTAATTGGAATTTGTGAGGGGTACGCGGTGTCCCACGGCCTTAGATATAACAGTAAAAAAAGTGAGCTACTCGTCTTTAAGGCAGGAAACAAATCGCCAAAGTCTGTTCCTCCAGTTAAGCTTGGAGGGACAGTATTGAGTAGAGTCGACAAGTTTAAATATCTGGGGCATTGGGTCAACGTGGACCTCTCTGATGACCTGGACGTAGAGAGGGAGCGTAGGGCATTGTCGGTGAGAAGCAACATGTTGGCGCGCAGGTTTGCACGATGTAATAAGGAAGTAAAAACAACCTTATTCAAGGCATACTGCCAAACTTTTTACACGTGCAGCCTGTGGGCCAAATGTACTCGCAAATCGCTTGATGCCCTACGCGTACAGTACAATAATGGTTTTAGGATGCTGCTGGGGTTGCCCCGGTTCTGCAGCGCATCTGGTATGTTTGCCGAGGCGCGTGTGGATAGTTTTCAGACTATCCTACGCAAACGAGTAGCCTCGGTGATGAAGCGCGTGCGGGATAGCGGCAGCGGTCTCCTAAATACCATTTTGGAGCGGGTAGATTGCCCCATAGTAAGTCACTGGAATGCGTGTCATATGCACTCTAATGTTGCCATTTATAATGTTAAATATAATTTGTTATAACATAGTTTTAAGATAATTGTTACTAACCAGCTATGAACTTTGTTTGAAATAAATTATTATTATTATTATTATTAAGCACCCTTGTGCGTATAGATAAAATTTACCACTTTCGATTTATATTTTATTACTTTGACCGATCAGATAATTTTGATACAATCGTGGATTAGCAATTCAAAGTTCCTACTTATGTGAAAAAAGTAATATTACTAAGAGAATGCAACAATTCAACTTTTTATGGTACTATGATACGCCTAATATTCTATATAATATGTATAAAATATAAGGTATTTACTTTTGACATGCAAACGTTCAACTCTCCGGTACACTGTTTTAAGAAAAAATCAGCAAGTTATTACTCAAGCATTTTATATATTAAACATTTTAATTCAAGCATTTTATATATTAAAAGGTTATTTAAAAAATATCAATGTAAATGTTGTGTCGAAAGTACTAGGAAATAAATATTTCCGCAATTAGTTAGTATGGATGATGACGGGTCTCAATTGTTAAAAAGAGGCAGTGGAGTATTTTATCCATAAAACCAATAAAAGCAATTTAGAAAGGTAGTGGCGGCCTTCACCTCAAGTCCTTCGAAATAGCGACTGGCGAGCAAAACAGATAATCGTCTGCGGTGAGTGAGAGTGTTTTTAATTAAAATTGTTTCAATTCGTCTCAGTGACGGATATTATATATGCTTTTTTAAATTGGTCTATGCCAACATCCAGCATAGCATAGGCAAGAGACCGCCCAATCTTTTCCCAAAAATACTTTACATGGTTCCATGGGCAACAACAGCAACTTATCGGATTCGATACGACGATTCGATCCATGCTACATTTTAGTATTATATGTCTCTGGGTGAGTGTATGTGATCTCTAGGGTAAAAGCTACGCCAATGCATCTGACAGAGACGGCCGTCCCCAAAAACAAAAATTAAGCTATTGGCCCCAGGCTTGCAATTATACAAAATTTGCACGAGTAGATAAACTTTCTTCTTGTTTGCCTATTATGGTGCTACCACAGTGAAAGGAACATAATTTTGGTTAGAGTATGGTGCTATTGTATCATTAGTGCGATTCATGCCAATTCTCGCTTCTGTAAACGACAACTCGCATAATGTTAAATTCAAATATTTTTTTACATATAGGTAAGTAAATTGCACTTGAAACCGTCAGTTTCTATATACAATCTATTAATCATTCGTAAAGCTGATTATCCCGAAAATAATTAGGAATAAAATTCAGGCATTGCTCCTTTTACAATTAAAAATATTTACAATATTTATTTCAAATATTATTAGATGGAGAAAACAGGTCACTACCACTGATTTTTCAGTAGATTGGGAACTTTAGTAAGATTTTTTTTATCTTTGTGCACAAACTGGGCTGGTTACGTAGTCATTTATTCTCATTTGCCAATACTACCGTCAATGAAAAAATGTCGGTTGCAAAGAGTAAAACGCCACTTTGAAGGAAAATAAGTCCTATAATTCATTTGGATTGTTTTCTACACCAATCTTCATCGGTTTCGTGGCGACCTGAGAACTTATTGACAAATTAGAGATCCGATAATCCGATTCTCGTGTTACGTCTTGCTTAAGAGTGTTACAAAGTTTGTAAAATTTATGCACATTGTTTTGTTAATTTAAAAATAAAATAAATAAATAAATAAAGTGCATCACGTTTGCATTGCGATTGCTTCGCTACTGCATCGCGACTGAATCACCGCAGACGCGCTGTTAAAAGTTGCCGTTTAAAATTCGCTCGTGTTAGTTACTCTACTTAGTGTTTTAGACATTTTGCGTTTCCACAAATAATATTAAGTATTCAAAATATCGATATTTTTGAAACCTTTCGGCTTGCCATACTTACCCACCTTAATCTGCTGTATAGAGTTAGGAATCTACACAGAATTTGACTTTACGCCGAAGTATTTTATTCACATTCGCTTTGTAAACTGTTTTCGTCAATTCTACATCTAACATTATCGTCCACATTTTATATTGAGTTCGACTTGCTGGAGTTTCAGTAACTGTTTACTAGTATATACATACCTCAGCATTGCAAAAAGGACCTTGGCACTGCAAAGATAGGACAAGGATTTTAGATAACGGAAAGAAACCCGACTTCGAAACAAGTTAAGTTTTGAAATGAAATGATTTGTTTTTTCCCAGCAGAGTGCCGTGACCATGGCACCTGTAAAAGGCCCGAAACGTTGATTTGTTTGAAAAAACAAATGTACGCGATTTAGATCTGAAAAAATGGTACCATTTACAACGTGAAACAATTGAAAAACCTTAGAACTCGATAAATTATGTTTAGTTAGCATGGTGCATAGTAGGTAATGTCCAAAAGACTTTCTCTTTTGGCCAAAGATTCCGATTATAATGCAATCGACTGCACACGATTCTTTGAGCCTGTTTGAAGGTTTAGGCCCAATTTATATTGCGGCGGAACGGAATGGAAGTGAATTTTTGTGACTATGTTATATTGTACTTAGCATAATGAGCTTTATGGTCGATTGTGTAACGTACAAAGCAGATACGAGCCAAAGTCTGCTCCAGAATGGTCGCGCTTTGTATTTGTACTATCTAGTTTGACGTTACACAATTGACCATAAAGTTCATTATGCTATGTACAATATCATTACAAAAATTCGCTTCCGTTCCGTTCCGCCGCAATATCAATTGAGCCTTATACAATTATTTCACTGATAGTACTAAGCACTGGGGCATAGGTACGGCCCATTTTGTCGACAATAGCAACTTACCTCTACTGTTGAAAGATCCCCTGTAGCCTGTAAATATGCAAATGTTTTGCATCATTGAATGCTTAATAGCCTGAGTACGAACTCTAAATCGCTATTATTTTGATATATGCGTGTTACGCAGACGTAATTTTTTTCTAAAAAGTTCTAATCGGAAACGGCCGAGTATGAAATGGTATCGCCAATAGCAGTTTCCAAATTTTTCTGCTGCGCGCCTTTTTGTTCAAATTAAAGTAACAAATAATGACGTTGGTACATACGCTATTGAGACAATTTTATTATTGCATCAAATTCCATCTGATATTTACACTTGTAAGTGTAAACTTTATGTTTGTTTTATTATTCTTGAACCCATAACTTTTTAAACTAACGTTCAATCTGGTCTAGACCATATCGACGGTTAAAATTATGGTTAAAATGTAAAAGGTTCCAAGCAACCCTTACTTTCATAATGAGATACGCCTACATACATAAACTCACGCCCTTGTCCTACAGGAGGGGTGGGCAGAGACCACGGAAAGCCACGTTACTCTATGTTGACTTAACTTTCTAGCCTCCCATACATCAACTACCCTTTTCATACAATTTCTTTTATTCTTATCACTTCAGTTCCCACCCTTTTTGAACACATCATTGATATGATCAATGTAAGTCTTTCTGGCACGTCCTCTTAAAACCCTTCCTTCCACATTCGCATCGTAAATCTGTTTGGTAATTCTTCTTACATCCGTCATAAGTGCCGCTTAGATTCTACCTTTCAACTGTTCATATAGGTATTCACGAAACTTCATGTAACTACTCTAATAAGATGTTTAGGGTGTACGTTTATCAAATCTGTACACACTTGGGAGCGTAAATATCGAACCGTTGCCGCTGGCCTTTACGTTGGATGCTTCATAATTAGATTTATTCCTGCCTTCTACGTTGCCTCTACAAGGTATACAGGTGCCGAAGGCCGAGCGCTCGCCGTTTATTATTTCCACTAGATACTTATTATTTAAAAGTACAGTCGAGTGAGATAATTAGACGATAAAACGAAATAAATATTTAAAGAAATTAATATTTTCACGTTTTAATTGCAATTTTGTTTGGAAAGTTTATTTATAATTTTAAATCGAAAATATTTGTCGTAATTTTTCAAAGACGTGTTAAGTTCTTAGTTAAGCATTTATTCGACACGAACTTCATCGCGCCGACGCCGCTGACGCGCGGTCGGCGTACGGAGCCCGCGTGGCAGCCGCGCAGCAACCGCGTGCATCTCTGTCGTGGCAAAATACGCTCTATTTATTTAGCTTTTACGTTTTAACTTATAGTATTCCGAGGAATTTACATGTTATTGCCTATTAAATATAATTAGGATTCGCCATTAATGTACGTGAAAGTGTGGTAATTGGGCGGTCACCGCGCGGCCGCCGCGCAAAATCTTTCGCGTCGTATGACTGGGCGCGTAGGGTTTATAAAAAATGACTTTGCATTTCTATTTATTTTTTTCATTTAAAAAAGAATTCACCACTAGGTTCATAGAAGTCAACCACTCTAAAGTTGGTATTTATTTAAGAATACATAAATGTGTGTTATGTTCTATAACCTGGTGTTAAGCGACACGCCTACCCATATAGACATGTCGATTAACACCAGGAGCACGACCCGTCACTTGGTATTATAAAAAAAAAGACTCGTCGCCTTGAATACCTAACTTTCTGAACGGAGTCCCTTTTTTTACTCTTTGAGCGTAATATCAGACAATTAAAGCTTCAAATATAATTTGTACACCTTTTAGTTATAAAATAAAGATACAATCACAGATTAGATTGTTATATAATTATTTCTAGTAATTTTGTTATTGTATCTACTCAAAAGTTTACATGAATGGAGGTTACAAAGTTTTCGAATTTAGCCTACGAAGAATTTTTAATTTAATACAGAGGATGGAAAAAATAACCTACTTTGTGGGAAAACATTACTGACTGGACTTTACTTCATAGTGAGCGCTCGCTACCTATATTGAGAAGGTAAATGACGGGAATAATTCGATAGAACAGCGGCAGAAGCTACCTAGTTGTAGATGGGTATACTGTAAAACTACAACTTGGGTATATTAACTTGTCCCAGCCTGTATTAAGTCACTGAAACTTACACTTACATTTCAACGGTCATTATTCATTACATAGCATCAAAAGTAAAAATCAACAGTGGTTCGCTATTTTTATGATCCCTTTTTCTTTTGAGGAGACCTGTGCTCATTAGTGGGACGTATATTGGTGATGATGTATATAATTTAAAAAAAATTCTCATACCAATGCTTGTGAATGGAATCCTGTTGACTGTAAATTAGAAACAAATATCGATCTTAAAGTTATATAGAAGTGCATCATCATAGGCCTCCCCAAATGTGCGCTATTTCGCCCGGTCCTCAGCTTGTCGCATCCATTTCCCGCCAGCAACCTTTCGCAGATCGTCACTCCACCTGGTCGGAGGGCGTGCTTCATTATTGTACGTTTGCCGACTCGCGGTCGGTAATCTATATACATATATGTATATATAGAAGTGCACTAATATTTTAAGGAAAAAATGTTAGCATGATAAAGATACTCCCAACGTATAATAAGCATTGGTCGGAAAAATGTGTTCCACATAATATGTGGAACTATATTATTTTAATACTTTTATAAAAAAAACTGCTGAACGCTTAAACAAGACGAATAAGTGTCATTTTTAACCGACTTCAAAAAAGGAGGAGGTTCTCAATTCGTCTGTATGTTTTTTTTGTATGTATGTTACGCGATAACTCCGCCATTTGTGAACCAATTTTGATGATTCTTTTTTTGTTGGAGAGAAGGTACCTCAGATGTGGTCCCATTTAAATTTCAAGAAAATATTCCACCTTTAAGAGTGGCAAACTAGGGGATGAATGACTTTTGAGGTCGGTTTTTTTAACCGGAGGTTAGGTTAGGTTATTGACTGCCTTACTCATGTACGGCTATTTATCTTCATAAATAGAGTAAGGAGAGGAATTGCTTTCATCCGAAAATCCGGGACTCGATAAAAAGTAATTCATTAATATGTGGTGGTTTTAACAACTCTATGTCGCTCCTTGTAGCTATATCTATACATGTATCTTTATATGTGGAACGCCTTTTTGCGACAATTGATAATAAGCTAAATTAACGGTTAGTGAAATACTCGTTTATTAACCGACTTCAAAAAAGGAGGCGGTTCTCAGTTCAACTGTATGTGTTTTTTTGTTTGTATGTTACGCGAGAACTCAGGAGTTTGTGAACCGATTTTGATGATTCTTTTTTGTTGGAAAGAGGGTACCTCAGAAGTGGTCCCATTGAAATTTGAAGAAGATGTTCCACCTCTAAGAGTGCTAAACTAGGGAATAAATGACTTTTGAGGTCGGTGTTTTTAGTACTCTGTACTGGGATTATTTTTTATTTTTGTTGCATTATTCCTAAAATATACATTCTGAATTCGAACTGATTGCTCAATAGGATATGGATATGAAGATGTACAATGGCTTTATTCAAACGAGGATGGAAATATGCGAGCATCCGTAAATTTAGTATTAAATTTAAAAAATTCAAACCTTCGTGTGTTCTTACCGATGCACTGGCCATGCGCCCTTTACACTATAATAATGTTTAAAATTTGATATTTACATAAACAATTTTAGAATAAATCAAGTTGCACGTAATAATAGTATAATAATAATATAGGTACTTTAACTAAGTAAATTTTATAGTTAAAAAAAAGCCATGCCATCTGGTGTCATTTCAGTTATTTAATTTATTTTATTCGTTTGTTTCTCCGAAACGAAACGAGTAGAAAGTTCGCTGAATGACTCCTAAGTGGATTTTTCCTAGTTTCTTTGCCGACAGGGAACCTTACGAACCAGTATCTATATGACGTTGCGGCGAAACTTTACAACGTTAGTTTAAGACAATTTCGTTTAGACCTCGTTCGGTAACGATGGACAAAAATTAACACTGATTTTTTTTGAACTATCAACTCATGAAGGCTGTTTCGCTAGTACCCAAGACAAAAGGCTAAAGTGTAGCGCCCGTAAGAGGTGCCGTAATTTTTACTGATTCTTTAATTTATCATGTTTAAACTTAATTTAAACATGACAAAACTAAAAAAACAAATATCCTATTTGATCATATATAGCGAAGTTCTTAGCAAGTATTATTTTCAGGTTTTTAATCTTGAAGTTCTTAAGGCTAAATACTTTTTATTTAAGTACATACTTTAGGGAATGTATAAAAAAGCGTTAGTCTCCCTTTTGTAAACGAACGTTTTAACATATATTTGTATGTGTTTTTCTGACCCGACAATGACAATGTCGTTATTCAACTTAAGTTATAGAATATTTGAAGGTAGTGAAGATAGAGTACATAACCATATTTATATAACGTTTAATAGCTTTTAAATATCGTTAAGAAGAATTAATTGCTTACTTGTAATAGAGTTTCTTGGGCGAATTTAACATAAATGAATAAATTACAAGAATATTTCTAATCAAATTTAAAAATAATTTTGTTCTTTTGGGTTAGCCAAAAAGTCCGTGCGGTATCAAAATATAAGTGAAAAATATTTAAAAAAGTGAATTATATACATATTTTCAAAAATGTTGTTATGTACACTGCCGTGATCTGTGCAAAAAGGCCGATCTCTCAATATTTTTATTTTTTGAAAGGTGGTTAATGTAAGAAGGTACGCCAGAGTATTAAACATTGTTTTTTCGGTTTTGAGTTTTTGTCATAATATGTCCTTTCAACTAACGGCGGCAGAATATCAATCAGCCATATTGATCTACAATTTGCCATTTTTCGGGTAATTTTAGAAGCCCTTTTCACAAACATTCCTGTCTACCTAAAAAATACAGCTCTGTACGTCGTTTAATGGTCTCTTCTTTGTCAATGGCCCCGTTTCAAGAATTTTGTAAAGACCGAAACTAGTGAAAATTCAAAGTTAAGAAGTTATGTCGGGTGAATGCGGTGAATGAGGTAACCTAATTGCAATAGTTTTTGACGACTTTGTAAATACATAAATATGTGTGTGGTTTGGCATTACCATGATTAATTTCAATTGTAACATATTTTTTATACATACATCATATGCACATTTTTTTATAAATGTATGATGAATTTACAGTTAAAATCTACTTACCTGACTTTTACAGTCAGCTCCGCTGCACTAAAATTAATAAGATAGTTATTGAGACTGTATTAAATGTTATTGTTAGTACTTTTTGGAATGTATTGGAGTTAGATATATAACAGTATTATATATAATCGTTGCTCAATGAGGGTTCTTAAAGTCGAGTACCTAAAAGCCTCGTGACCTAAGTAATAGGTACGAGATTATAAGACCTAATGATGGAATGTTTGCATACAATACTTTTTCTACAAGTAAATAATGAACACATTCAATATTTAATGCATATTTTGTTAGCACCCATGACAACATACGCAATTTTTTTTTATAAATTTTAACTCATATATAAGCAAAGGTTCCATCATACCATACAGCCGCTGCATGTCTTTAGACGAAAGCCAAACAAACTCGAAAACGAAAAACTAAAGAGATAGAACTGGCCAAGTGCCGCATATATTTTAACCTTAGAGGATGGAAAAAAATAGTCTAAGATTTTAACCAGAAGAAAACGCGGGAAACTTCGATTTTGGCGTTCGGAACATTGACTTACAATCGGAAGATATTAAGTGATCAGACGATTTATCTTGTTCTATTGTATATAAATAGTTATTTAGTTTGTGTAGATATTATAGTTTTTCTGTGTAGGTGAGTTTTTTATTACCTTTTGTTGCGGGGGAGAAACCTGCCGACGATCTGGGGGGTTGTGTACTTCATGTGGGTCTTAACATTTGTATAGGGGAGAAAAATGTGGTGGATACGGAAGACAATATAATGCCTCAAAAACTTCACTATCTCTCTCTCCAAATGACATTTTATCTCCCAATATTGCTCTTCAATCCCAAAGTGGACGGAAGTATCAAATAAGTGGCTCTGCTCCATTCGTCGTCAGTGTGAAAATGGAAGTAGTTAATTCTGATGCCAGTGCCAGAAAAAAATTGCCAAATTGTACTGAATGGAGAGGACTCCATCCAGTACAATTTGGCAATTTTTTTAAAGAAAAATAATTTTAAAAATATCATAAATGGCAGTTTGAAAAGGATAGGCAGAAACAGAGTATCCCTTTCTTTTTCAAACCTTAAAGAAGCAAATAATTTTGTTGATCACCCTAATCTTGCACAACAGAAACTAAAAGCTTTTTTAACTACATTTAATGTGTCTCGGATGAGAGTAGTGAGAGGTGTCCCCGCAGACTGGACTGTAGATGAAATTTTAGAATAGTTATCGGTACTGTAGCAGGCTGCAGGCAGCTTGGTTTGTATTTCGAACTGTCTAAATATAGGTTTGTATTTAGAATTCTATAGAAAATAAAAGAGAATTGTGGTAAAATGAACATCGTGGTTGTTCTAGACGAATTCTTGAGTTGTACATACGCAGTTAATCTTTATTTATGAATATATTCTTATTTCTTATTAAAAAGTACCTCTTGCAATGCTAAACCCACGGCTACCATCCTACAGTACCTTTTGGGTGTGGCAAAACATGAAGATTAGACGAATGAAAAATAAAACAGTTCTAAATACAGTTGTAACATATAATAATAATTTTAACTTTTGATGGTCAGGTTCTCCCAGAAAATGTGTTTATGTGCTATACATCCTTGCCAGTTACTCTATACATATATCAAATCACCATTCAATGTTTAAATTGTTGCCGTTTTGGACACCAACCAAGTTACAGTGTCAGTTCAAGTCCCATTGCGGAGTCTTATGAAGTTGATGAAGAGGGTGGATCTTGTTCTCGTCATGTCGTCGTCAGAAGTCGTGTTCAGAATATTTGAAAGGAGAATCTAATCTCTCATCTCAAGACGACAGATGCCACCTTAGCCAACCAATTCATGGACAAACTGGCTCCTTTTCTTCAGTACCAGAATAATTTCAATGCTCTCTTACTATCCCTCTCGTTATGAATGGATCTGGTTTAAATTCACTGTTTTCAATTAACGAATTAAAAGGTACGCTTTCTTACACAAAGGATTCCTTATATTGTAAATTCCATAATGGTCTCTGGTATGATACCCTTTTCTCGGAAGACATAATATGTAATCCCTATTTTGAAACCTGGAAAGTTATCTACTGAAGTTGCTTCCCATCGCCCCATAGCTATGTCATTTGTATTAGCAAAACTTGAACACTTAGTAAAACCCGATTAGAATTGTTTATCGAAAGCAATAACTTGCTCTCAAGAAGTCAATTTGGATTCAGAAAAGGGCAAAGTGCATTGGATAACATTAGTATATTTATTATAGATGTTCGTTTAGCTTTTACATTAAATGAGTAAAATCAGTTATATCCGCTTTTTTAGATATCAGTGCAGCCTATGACAATGTAATAATTTCAATTCTCCATAAAAGCTACAAATTTTAGAAGTCACACCCATGCTCTCTAGGTTCATTATCAATAAGTTTTCTGAAAGATACATTAATTGCGATGGCACCAAGTTATTCCGCGTGGTATCGAGAAGCTTGCCACAAGGATCGATTCTCAGCCCTTTACTTATAATATATACACATATGACTTCGAAGCGTCGCTTCCTGTAAATGTCAAGGTTTTACAGTGTGCTGACGATCTCCTTTTATATGCCATAAACAAATCTGTATAGGAAGCATCTCGCTCTTTGAATTCTCTAAATATTTCGAAAGCTGGTTAAGGTCTAAAGGGCTTGAACTATCGGTCCCTAAAAGCACTGTGGTTATGTTTTCTAGAAAACTTAGATCGCCAGACGTCAATATAATGTATGACGATTTATCCATCCCTATAAAATCACAAACGAAATTTTTAGGCCTATACTTGGATTCTCGTCTTACGGGTATCCATCCCTTATTGAATACATAGGTGCTAAAAGTAAAAAAAATTAAAAATCGTATGATGTTTGACTGGAATGTGGGGCGAGCACATTATTTTTCTTTAAAACTGGTGTACGATACCTGAATGCCTGACGCCTGCCCGAAACTGGTGAATTAGAAGCCTTTTTGACTAAGCAATTTTTATTCTGGAATTCTGTAATATGTCTGCTTTGAGAAAGCTAGACAATATGCAATACAAAGCATCTGTTCAAATTCAGTAAAAATACTTATCATCGGCGCAATGAGAACAAGCCCTATAAATGCCATGCAACTAGAATCTGTTGAATCTCCACTCCACTTAAGAAGACAGTTCCTGTCGGCTAAGTATGTTTTCCGATGCTTGCAGCTATTGAAGCACCCTTTGTTGACTAGACTAGAGCGACTATCAGTGGAATCTTTCTCTTCTTATTGGGCGCTAAATCCCTTCGATGCTTAATTATTACTTTCCGTAAGTATTATCTATTCACGCATCAATTCACACAT